GCAGTTAAACCTATATTTTATGTCTTTAGAATTTTAAGTTTAGTTTTAAACAAATGAGACGCAATAGTGCCGACCATTCATTCGCCAATGCTATGCAAATCAATAAGGAAGTTTAAAAGGTTTTATGATATAATTTATGGGACGGTAAGAGCTTACTTCGATTTATTATGTCAAGCATTTGAATGGGTCTGTGATAATAAAAGCTTTTATAAATTGCTTTGTGTTTCCACAAAATAGATTGTCACCTCTTTAATTCATAGATACTCGTATGTAAATGTCATTTCATTGTTTATTTTGTTTTTTGAGGTTTTATTTGTCAGGTTTCTAGCGAAGTGAATTTGTAAATTTAGTTGGGGGCTTATTATTTGTCACTGATGGAGCAGACAAATTAAAACATTAGAATAGGTAATGCTTATTGTGAGCAGGTGGAGCTTAAGTTGGATGTCTTTGATTATTTGGCTCGAATCTTTTTAAAAAAGTAATAACTAATAAGTTGACCTAATGACTCTGTATCATTAATCTAAAGTAAGAATCCACTTAACCCGGATTGGTCACTTATCGATGCAAGTTTATTTGCCAACAAAAGTACACCATTAACCTGATCCTCCGACCCGCAAGCTGGAAATGACATTATGCTAATTGGCCAGATGCCTTCGATAAGAGGAAACCTACAACAGTTTAAACTAACCTGTCCCTGTGAAGAATTAATTCGTTTTCTTGCAAGATTGCTGACTGAGAACTTCCCCACCCTCAGCTCTGCTCTGCTCTGAGTTTATCTTGGCTGACCATCGCCATATTTAAGTTAATTGCTTTGCATACATTTTTAATGCGGTCAAATTAATTAGCTGGGACCTCAATCAGCAGACATTTGTTTCTATTATTGTGGCTGCGGCTCAGTGCCTCAGTTGTGGCCATGTGTCGACGATTTTATTTATGCACAAATGCAAGAGTTGTGGCTTATAAATGTAGCTGTCAGTTGTCATAATTTATAGAATAACTGTCAGAGCCGTAACACCTCTGCGCACGATTTTCTTTGGGGCTGCTCTCACAGAGGCCTCTGAAAACCTATCGCTCGCCATGCTGCCATAATCATAGCGTCAACGTTTTTGATTTATGTGCTCAGTTCTCCATTTTTTGTTGTATCTGGTTTTTTGTTTCCATCTTGGCTTTTTTTTTTTTTGGCTCATGGGAGTTCAGCCGAGTGGCACAGCAAGCTGGCCCGCTGGATATAACTGTTAGAATCGCGGGACACTAATGTGGGTTGGTAGGTAGGTCGCGAAATTGGTAGGCTTGGAACTTTTGCGACAGTTGATTATGATTAAGTGCCAAGCCCCCAAGCCAAATTTTAAGATTTAAGCTATAAATTTTAAATAAATCTTAAGCACTACAAAAAATCTAATCTAAGTATGATATTTAGATTGTTTAAGTATTAGTATAGTATCGTATGATTAGTACCTGTATAATTAATGATCTTTGAGAACACCTCAATAAAAAAATGTTGTTTATTGGGTAGATTATATTTCAATAATAAAAAACATAAATTAGCTTTTAAAATAATTGTTTTTATATAAACAATAGTTTATAATTAACTGATTTCCAGCTTAGACAGTCATTTAATGGATTTATGGCTTTTTCTGCCATCTGCCAAAAGTTTTGAGGCCGGAAGCCTTATGCAAATGTGGCTTAGACGTTTTTGCCATATTGTCTCTAAATTATTTTTGGACATTCTTTTTGAACTTCATATGTACATTTATTGGTAGTTTGTTGAAAGCAAAACAAAAAGCCACAAAACCAAGTTAAATGCATGCATAAATCAATCAATCGCAGCATTTGACAGACAGTCTCGAGTGCCGAGACAGCCGAGAGTATGAATGACAGACGTTGTATAGACTTTGTGTGCAAAGTAGGCAATCATATAGGTAATTATGTAAACTAGTTGATACCCTACAAATATTTGTGAGAAAATCAAATATTTAAGAGGCTTACGAGGGGAGGAAAATTCTGTAAAGTTAAGCTTTGAAGGCATATTACTAGGTAAGTAATTTGTGACACTTATCATGGAAGTTTCTGTCGGATCAAGTATATATATTTATATTCCAGGGTGCTTCATCAAACTATATAATAGTTATTGGTAAGTATCCCTCTACCCTGCTTTTAACTTGCCTTCTTTTCAGCTTCTCCGCCTCTCAACGGCAGCGCTTAGTTGTCAAACTGATTTATGCACAAGCTTGACATATATTAATGGCCGGTGGTGTAAAATAAATGCGCATTAAATTATTAAAATGTGTAATTTATTTTATTTTACCATTTTTTGTTTGTTTTTAATATGCAAATGATTTGTTATCTAATATACAGATCTTTTTAAAATATTTGCTAAAAAGGAAGTCTCAAAGTAGAGTTAAGGTCTTAATTCCTGACTGTTGTTAGGCGTCTGGCATTGTAATTGTAGATTGGTTGTGGGCGGTAATAACTTGACACTGGATATAAAATATGAATAATAATGTGACGTAATTTGAGCATTTAGTTCATTACACATATCTCGATTGTATCTTTAATAAAAAACCGTTTTCAAACAAATTGAAAAAAAAAAAACAACTTGCAAATATTTTTTTACAAATAGGCATAAATCTGTCAGCACGCAATGCCATAAAAAATTGTGTCGCAATTAATTTTCAATTTTTGTTATTATTGCCTGCATTTGTATGTGGGTTTTTTGTTAATCGTAATTGCATTATCTGGCATCGATTAATGAAAATTGTTTAATAATTTCATGACATTTTATATTCAGTCGTTTTTTTATTAGCACTTGATTTGGTTAGCAACTGATTAAGTTCATAAATAACTTCAAATTGAAGGTTGAGCCATATATTTGAAAAATTAAATGAATGCAATGAATATTTTGAGTTTTTAATCCTGTTTTATTTATAGATGATTAAATTAACAAGATAGGGTTTCAATTATTTTATTCAATATATTATATTACTAGGCATTTCTTTGTGACTAATTTGCACATAAATTTGAGTGGGTATTGAGCAATCCACGAAAAAAAGAATTTCTTACTAATTTCGTGGCTCAGGACGACAGATCTGAAATGAGCCAAGACGTTGGCATGGCCATTACCCGCCCACAAATATAGTGCTGCGGGTGAACACGCACGATTAATAAATTAAATTGAAAGACACACAAAGTGTGAGAAAGCGAGAAATACATATAAAAAATTTTCCAAATGAAATTGTTAAATACTGACGACTGGCTGCATTATTCTAAGCATGTGCCTTGAAATATGTCGCGACATGCTAATAAAAATATTTGCTTTTTCTTCACTCTATGGGGGAGATTTATATTTTCTCTTAAGACGCCAAGTGTGTGGGGGGCTTGAGTTGGTTTTATTTTTGTTTATTAGCCGCCTGCTAATAAAAATTAATTTGAAAATACTTTTTAAAATGCCTTCGACTTGGATAGCTGCTGGCTCGCATAGCTTAAGATTTTTATTTATTTGTTTTTCTAATTTGTATTTTTCGTTTCACATTCATTTTGCTGGGTCCCTGAGTACGTTGTAGTTTTCAGCGATTTATTTATGAGCTATTCGAATTTCGAATGTATTGTGTTATTGTTTTCTAGTGTATAAGATTTTTTATTTTAGGAAACCCAAGCAATGTTTGGCTTATGACCGACTTGATGAAACACAATGTGTTTATTTGACTTGATTTATTGCTCTTGTGAGGAATTATTTTCCTAATGCCCGTGTATTTGTCATATTTAAGCATTCGAATTCTTCAAGTGGAATTTAGTCTGTTTGCCAAAATTTTAATAATTCTTAAAATTACAAAACAAAGTTGTTTATATTGCGATCTGAGGAAAAAGAACATTTGTTATTATTCATAATAAATTTATTTTGAAAAAAAAAAAACAATTCTTGTGAAATACTCCGGGCCAATGTTAAGTAAAGTATGACAATTTATTATGCGCGATTGCATTTGATTTATGCGAACATAATATTTCTATAGACACTGATGGTTATATTTCCTTGGCCACCTCCGAGTGGAATTTATTTTCGTCGCATACCATAAGCCATAAACAACTTAAGCGAATTGGTTTGAGGTCATTAACTAAAATCCGACTGCTTATTTAAAACACAAGCAGCTGTGCCAACAATTTGTCAACCGCCTATAATCGTATATGTTTTCTAAAAATTAATATTGTGTGGACTCTTTTTACAATCATCATAAAATATCAGGAAATAGGACTTTCATAATTTTCAAAAGTCAACCCAATAGTGAGAAAAATAAGAATTTAGAGACTTAACCCATACGCATAATGCAGATGCCAGAGTGACTTTTTTGTGAAGGCAAAATATTTGTCTGCGATAAATCTTCATTGTCTCCCCTTCATTTTTTATGACAGCCACACGACCTAGCGAAAAGATCAAAGCGAATGGGCGAACATATTTTTTATTGTCGTGCCTTATTAATAATGCTAAAAATGCTGAATTTTAAATATTTTTTCTTTATGATTTGTTGCCAGTGACAAAAGCCATTAGATCTGACATTTGGTGCGAACAGATTAACTTTTGAGTATATGTATTTTGTTTCTTGGGCCCCCCGACGGTGTCTATTGTGCGTGATTTTTTTGTAAAATATGGCCAAATGCCGAATAACCAGCCAAGAACAGGTTAAATGCTTTATTTATGCTTGTGTCTTTGAGTGCGCCATTTAATTAGCCACAGCGTTTTGCTAAAGCGTTTCTATCATTTAATTAGAGCAAATCAATTGCTTCAAGCGAGTGCTAATCGAATGCATTTTTAATTTGTAATCAATTAAAGTGCCAGCGATACTGGCTAGTGTACTGACTTGTTGCCTGACGTAAGCTCTAAAATAAATTATATTTATTTGTTGTAGTTTTATGATACTTTCGGAATGTGCCATTGAGAGTGTGAAATAGTTCCGGCTAAGACAACTCTATTGCCACCTAAGAGGAGAGTCCAACAACTTGCTTTTGTTCAGATATACCCAAGAATGGAATAGTAATATATTTTAATTTCACAACAATTGGGACAAGGATATGTTCCAGATCTTTGAGATCAATTCAATTTTTTAGAAGATTCATTCTATTTTTTCTTCTGTCTGATCCTCGGGACTCATCTGATGTATCTTGTGCTTCCGACGATCGCGGCAACTTCCGCAGATTCGCATACAAAAGAAGTAGATCAGCTCCAGGAAGCTAAGACAAGAGATTCCCATGAAGAGGCCGCAGATACCACCGCAATTGGAAATCAATGTTGAGACACCAAACAGTATAGTGCGCTTAATGGCAGTAAACTGATGCTCCTTGAAGTAAACCGAAAGCCTGGATCCAATGGCACTAAAGGAAATTCAACACAAAGCCCTATTAACACAAAGCCCTATTTTATTTGAAGATCTACTCACTCCGTATGCTCATACTCCTCCCGGAATGCTCTAATTGTCTTGGCCACATCGTACTTGGCTCTAGATATCTCAAAGTTGTACTCCAGCGATGTGCAGGCTGGCAAGCAGTTGCACATGATTTCAACGTTGTCGTTAACACTCTTGGCCATGGTTTGGTTCTGAAGCAGGGCGTACAGCTCGTCCTGGGCAGCCGTATAGCAGGTGATGTCATTCAAGCCACAAACGGGAGTACCCTCGGGTTCTGGGAACAATAAAAGGTGACAAATTCGATTCAAGAGGACCGGCCCACTCACTTGGCATCCAGAACTTGGCGCACCCGCACTTGGAGACCGTGTAATTGGCCAGGCACTCTGTTTGGCAGTTGCTTTGCGAATAGGATCGGAAGAATCGTAGTTCGCGCTCATCATCGAAGAGGCATTGACGTCTGGAAAAAGTGGTATTTTGGTAAATAATGAGACTACATATTACTGAACTTACTTATCAGGTGTAATTTCATGCAAATTCTCCGTTGACACGACATAAGCGGGCAGTACACTGACCAGGACCTCGTCACCATGGGGCACCAGAATGTAATTACCCGATGTGAGGGGGACGCTCTCCGGGGAGTTGAGAAAGACCTTAAAAATTACACATTAGGTTAACAATTAATTCACACCCACTTTCCCTAATGGTACACACCTTGTAGCCCTGCTTAAAACTGCGACAGTCGTAGTCGAAATTGTGCTGCAAGCCCTGCAGGAAGGCAAAGAACCCATTCTTCACCGATGAGAACACCGTCCGCTGGGGATACGCATTCTGGCCCTGATCCAGATAGCCTGTGTCCAGGGACCACGATCCACTAATGTCGTTCCAGGCCGGCAGCTCCTTATCGAAGTAGTTATTAAAATCCACTATATCTGGATCGACATAGCTGATGTACTTCTCGTCCCGATAAATATCCTTGGGATGCATTCCGTTGAACTGGTAACAAATGCCTTCATCTGTAGCCACAAAATCGAATATCTTATCGCAGAAATAGAATCGTCCATTCCATTTGCAAAACGGTCCAGTCACATTCTTTGATATACTCAGATCGATAAGGGTCTGGGTTACGTCCACGTATGGAGGATTCAGTTCTGAGAGCAAAGGACTAAATCGCTGAACAACCTCCGAGTCACAGATGTGCATTGCGGCTGCCATGTAGGTCAAACTTGAAGAATTTGTTTAAAAAATGTTACAAGTTATGAAAAAGGTTAGGTACTCAACTCTTCATCGCTGAGGTTGCTGATATTGCCGTTTGTCTTGTATTCCTCCCAAAACTTGCGGGAAACGTTTGTATAGTCAAATAGATTTCGCTCCATTTTTATTTCCGGGCAGATAGTAATGGTGGGAAAGGGTATCTTGTGCACTGGCACCAGAGTCTCGTCAAAGCCAAGAATAACCGGAGACTCTTGCCACTTCAAGTAGGTATCCCAGATGAGAGAAACGGCAAAGTACACCGAAATACAGGTGAAAAACAACCAATAGAGCCTGGAAGTAAAGCCAGTTAGCTTCAAAAAGAATTCGGAAAACACGTCACCGACTTTTCGTAAATGGGCCTGTGGACCTCAAAGATGTAGCGTATGCCATGGATGGTGGTGCTTTTGGCGTACTCCAGAAGCAGGCCTTTGCAGGCGGACAGAGTGCTTCCGTATCGAATCCGAGACTTGATGATCACATCACTGGGCACATCGCTCAGGGCGGCCGAGGCAATACTGGCTCTGGTATCGAATCCAGGAAGAGTCAAAAGCTCTGGCCCGGGCAGAACACTGATGCCCGGCTTCTTCTCGTCGTCCTCGCGTATCTCGGCCATTGTCCAGGACTTACTAAGCTGCGCCAGCCATGTCGAGTGTCCTTTTATACGCGAGCTCCAAATAAACACACCTGAAAACTGGGTGCGTTCACTGATTCCACTGGGTTTCCTCTGCTCGGGGACTTCCATTGGCACGCACCCGCAACGCATTCATCTACTTAAGCTTAATTACAACCCCGCATATCATATGGTCCTTGTTTCGGCTCCAGTGTCTTATTTGCATCATGCAACAATAAAGAGTCCTTTGGTGACCTTAAATTTTTGAAGGCTATATCTTTGCCAGTATTCACACGATTCTTCAGCGGAATACTTTAAATTGTTCTGGTATCTATTCTCTTTCAATCTGCATAAAAATCAAAGAGCACATTATTTTTCAGATTTTTTGTCAAATTTTATGGAGGACCCTTCAAAAATATACGAAAGTGCATGGAGCCAAAATATGGCCTACAGCGAAGTCTATAACTTTGCCAATTTTGATCGGATTCTTGAGCGGAATACCTTAAACGATTTGTGCATCGATTCTCTTTCAAATTACATCAAAATCTAGGATCAAATTCTTTTTCAGATTTTTTGTCAAATTTTGTGGAGGACCCTTTAAAAATAGGCATACCAAAATGCATGGAGCCCAAATTTGGCCTACAGCGAAGGCTATATCTTTCTCAATTTTTATTCAATTCTTCAGCGGAATACCTTAAACGATTAGTGTATCGATTCTCTTTCAAATTACATCAAAATCTAGAAACACATTATTTTTTAGATGTTTTGTCAAATTTTGTGGAGAACCCTTCCAAAATATACGAAAATGCATGGAGCCAGAATATGGCCTACAGCGAAGGCTATATCTTTGGCAATTTTGATCCGATTCTTCAGCGGAATACATTAAACGATTTGTGTATCGATTCTCTTTCAATTTATATTAAAATCTTGAAACAAATTATTTTTTAGATTTTTTGTCAAATTTTTTTTTGGAGGACCCTTCAAAAATATACGAAAATGCATGGGGTCACAATATGACTTACAGCGAAGGCAAAATCTTTGCCAATTTTGATCCGATTCTTGAGAGGAATACCTTAAATAATTTGTGTATTGATTCTCTTTCAATTTACATTAAAATCTTAAAACAAATTATTTTTCAGATTTTTTGTCAAATTTTGTGGACCCTTCAAAAATATACGAAAATGCATGGAGCCAGAATATGGCCTACAGCGAAGGCTATATCTTTGCCAATTTTTATCCGATTCTTCAGCGGAATACCTTAAACGATTTGTGTATCGGTTCACTTTCAAATTACATCAAAACCTAGAAAAAAATTATTTGTCAAATTTTTGTCAAATTTTTCCCTATATCTATATCTTTGTCAATATTCATCCGATTCTTGAGCGGAATATATGTATGAGGGGAAAAAAGTCAACAGAACAAATTAACTTAAAATGTAAAATTTGTGATGAAAATAAATAAACAAACAAGAAAGCAAAGCTAACTTCGGGCGGAGCCGAAGTTGATATACCCTTGCAGTTAAAACCGGATAAATATCGCAAACATCGGATATAGTTTGCCGATCCTTATGATTACATCATAATAAAACCAATTTATTACAATAAAAAATCTAAAAAAAAGTTCCAAGCTTCTATCTTCAAAAATACGAAAGTTGATATTTCTACCAAGTACCATTTACGATCGTTCAGTTATATGGCAGCTATAGGATATAGTTGGCCGATCCTAATGAAATTTGGTAGGTTGGATCAACTGGCCAAAAATAGAATCTGTATTAACCTTTCTATCTTCAAAAACACGAAAGTTGGGTCTTTTCCGATCGTTCAGTTATATGGCAGCTATAAGATATAGTCGGCCGATCCGGGCCGTTCCGACTTATATACTGCGTGCAAAGGGAAGAAGGGTGTGTGCAAAGTTTCAAGTCGATAGCTTCAAAACTGAGAGACTAGTTTGCGTAGAAACAGACAGACGGACAGACGGTCAGACGGACAGACGGACATGCTCATATCAACTCAGGAGGTGATCCTGATCAAGAATATATATACTTTATAGGGTCGGAGATGTCTCCTTCACTGCGTTGCACACTTTTGGACAAAATTATAATACCCTATGCAAGGGTATAAAAATACCCATAAGCAATTAATTTTATCCCAAGAGTATAAAAGAATCCGTCTGCAGTTGTGTAGCAGGACAGTTTATCAAAATCATCTTGGCCGATTTTGGAAGCGTCATCGCACACGACTATTTACTTTGATGTTATGCTAAAAAGATTGTCACCCATGGTCGGGATGCCAGTGTGCATTACTCTTTTTGCTGAATGCCCGACATCGTTTAAACATGTTCCTGGAATTTAGTGGCATACTCACTGGATCGCCTTTTATGCCGGACTGGAGTTGCTGAACTGGCGACTGCCATTGAGAGCCTGAATTCGTGCGTGGTTTGATTTTGTCTGCGTGGCGATGCAGTTGGCCCCCATCCGCTGGCCAATGGTTGAATCTGGCTCAGTTGTTGGCACTTATTTGGGGACATTGTCATCGATATAAAACGGCCTTTTTGTTGTGTCCCCTGGTCAAGAGGCATCCGTAGCGCATTTTTCGAATATTCAGCCAACTCTTGCCACTCGCCGGAGGCCTGTGGGTTTTGGACTTTGCGTTATTTTTTCCATTCTTCCTTTATTTTTTTTATTTTTTGCATTATCAGTGTGTGTGCATCAACATTTGGATTCGCGTGAAATTCACTCACGACTTGTAATTATTTAATTTTATTGTTTGTTTTGCGAGCAGCCGACAAGGAACAGCACTGGGGCGAAAAAGTGCCCACCGTTTAACCAGATTTCAGCCTCTGATCAATTGGCTAAAGGCCTTTTAAAACGACACTAAATTATCATGTAGATAAGTATTGTAGTGGCCAGGCAACGCCTACAGTGGATTACATACATTCGAATGTAACGCTGCCTGTTTTCGCGTGCAAATTGTATTCACATTGGGGCGTCAAGTTCTGTTTTTGTCTTGCTCAAATATGGTTATTAGTCATTAGGCTTATAGAGATAATTATTATGGGTAAGCAGTGGGCTTAACATGCCCTTAACTGAATTGATAAATGGACTTAATGAGCGGTACTTATAGAATCACGAACCCAGATTGTACACAAATTACTAAGCGATGTTATGAACTGTGGCGTTACGTAAATTCAAAAGTGGGACACTTGGTTAGGGTTTTTTTTTAAATATTAAAAAATAGATACATTTTCGAGTTAAAAACAATATGTATATATCTCTTTCAATGTGAGAACTTTTCTGCTATCTATTCAGAAAAACGGCCACCTAGGCACTCTTGAGCTATTCGCCTTTAATTATTCATATTTTAATGTGTTCCACACATATGGCCCAAAACTCACTAACTCTCCCAGCTCAGTAACAGCCCCAAAACGACACAAAAAGTCAATTGCCTGTCTGCATTTGAAAATATTTTTTGCTTTTGGCTTGAGAGTGTGCAGTTGATGGAACTGTAATTAAATTGGCGAGAGCTCCAAAACGTCACGACAGTCTACACATTTCAGAAATTCTATTTGAATAATTGACGCTTAATGTATGGGTGGGTGGTCTGTGGGATGTTTCTGAAGGTCCACAGCAAAGCTGTTGAAATATTTTGTATTTTCAAATGGATTTTTTTCGTCAGGGATATTCATTAACTATTTACAAAAAATAAAACTGAATAAAAACGAATATTGTAATCGAAACTGGGATAGTTTAGCAGTATTTGCAAAAGTATTTTTTTACTTTCAATTTAGATTGATGCAATAAACGGATATCCTGTTTCAGTTATTTGCTTAATTTAAAAATATTAAATTTTTATTGAAAAAGGTTTGTAGGATATTATATATGGCAACATAAGGCACGTTATGATCTCATCAATTCGGCCAGCTCGCCATCAGGGGCATAACTACGTACATTCATAACCACGCCTGGACCTCCCTGGACCCCGAATCTTGCCCCAAACCAGCAAGACCATCCTCCTCATAGCCACCTCCTCGAACTCCTCGACCATTCGCATTTGTTTATAAATTATGAGGCAGAGACAAAGCTGACTGCAGCTGCTGATGAGTTGGCCGGCAGCCGGAGGAAAGGCTCCTCCTGCACCTTGGGTCCGTTTTCTGTAATAAATCAAAAGCAGTTTCGCCAGCAATCCTCTGTCCTGACCAGGCCAGAAGCCTGTCTGAATGTCTGCTTGATGTCTACCTGTCCGTGTCTGTGTACGCAGTTCCAGTTGCAGTCTGTGGCACTTGTAAGCTGGGTAAATTTATGCATGGCTTCACATTTCTTCGAGTTACCATTTGTTACGTAAATTATGCATGTTGAGTTGAAGTTTTTGTTGTGGAATTACTTCAGACGATTAGCCAACCCAGGGCTAAATGGTCAAGAGATTGCAGTTGCATTGTTCGTGTTAGCCAGAATCTTAGCCAATGTCAGTTGCCAAAATTACAAGTTTCACCTTCCTTCTGCTTGTTGCAGTCAGCATCGACTTTGAGGTATGTGCTGGTACTGGATGTTGATAGATATTGTATAAATATATGTATTTCCAAATGCTAATCATATATATTAGGAGCTTTGGCTCGATTAAACAAAATTTCAATTATGAAAATAGTCCAAACAAGACATTTATGTTATGCCAACCCGAGGGAGTCCTTTGCATATTTGAATTCATAAACTTCTCTGGCAGCCAAAAATCCAAAATAATCATGAAACTAATTAAATGTATAATTTAGTAAGCAATCCAATTCCCAAGCGGCTGAAAAAGCACAGCCACCGCAAATTGTTTACAAATTGTCCACGTTTAATGTAAATTGTTGCGATAGATTTTTGCTCATGATTATCATAATTAAAAGCGTAATATTTAAACGCATCTGCTAGTTTTCCCATAAACGAGAGTAGGGTTTTATGTGAGCTTGTGTAACAACATTACGGAGATTTTAATTACATTTTGTTCAATTGTTGTTTAGTTTAAAGT